AAAGAGATGAAGAAGGGGGAAGGCAGTCTGCTGTCAGTCTTGCTACCTCCCAACAGCAGGAGCTAGGGACCGTTCAGGCAACTTTCCCAGTTCTGGAGAAAGGCAGAGCGTCGCAGTCTTGCGAGGCAAACACTGCTGAAACTGCTGGCACTTCATTTTATGCTATGTCTCTTGAGAAACAGCCCCAGCTCTCAGCAGCAGCAGCAGTTATAGCCCTGCTCCAGCCATCTCCTTACCCTGAGGCCTAGGCCAAGGGCTGAGCCCATTGTCAGGCTTCCTGTCAGTTCTGGCACCCAAAATCTTGTCCCCATTGCATCCTCACCACCCTGAGGGGCCCAGCTGCCACCCTACTCCAGCCCCAAGTCAGCCCTCTTTCTCTCAGACCAGCTCCACAGTTGCACTGCACCCCGGGCCCCCTTTTCCCACAGCCCAGTCTCACCACCATCACACTCAGACTGACTCAGGCCAGACCCCTGCCCCAACCACAGCTCGACCCCTCCCCGCATCTCCAGGACTTGGATGGCAGGTTCATTTTGCCAGACTTCAGTAGGGCACTGGCACCTGAAGGACACAGGCCACTGCATTTTGCAAGCTTCCTGACCCAGGAATTGGAAGAAAGGAAAACTCACCGAACCATCCATCTACACCCTCCCACCCCAGCCCCCAAGAAAGTAGGCATGGGGAAGAGGACAGGGACTCTGCCCCAAAGCAGCTGAGAACCTCTAGCCTAGAATAGCACACCTCAATGAGACAGAGTGCAAAGTGAGCTCTCTCCCTCCTCTCCTCTGAAGCTGGCACAGCTCTGACATGCCATGGACAGCATGGACAAGAGAGCATGCAAGGTCCTCAAAGGCAAACGGCAATATTGCTTACCCAAGCTGGAAAAGACCGATCTTGGAGATTACCTATGCAGGCAAGAACAGCCCCAAGCCCCTGCCAGAGATCCTGGGAGGTAACAAGGAGAGATTTCTGCACCCTGTGCATCTCAGCTCATTTTTCCAGTGATAGAAAATCTTGGAACTTGATTCTTGATTTCTGGATTCTTGACAGACTCCAGAAAAGGCACAGCAGGTTCTAAAGAGGGAGAGCAGAGCCCAGCCTGGACCCCCGTCAAACCTGCAGCTGTGTCCAGGCTGCATCCTGATGCTCCTGTAGGGGTTCCCATTTGCTGTTGCCCTGTGTTGCCTGTTAGCTACGCCTCCCCCTGCCACCCACTCCAGTAGGACACTCACCGATAGTGGCCTCGCACCACCCCATCTGGGTTCAGCATCGGAATGAGCTTAAAGACAAACATCCGCCGCAGCATTTGAGCACGAGGGTCCTCCTCTCGCAGGATGAAATCCAGGAAGCCGTTGAAGACAAAGCTGGAGGGCGTTTCCCCTGGGTGGACTCTACTGCTCAGGAAAAACACCTAGGGGCACAGAGACACTGATGATGGCCAGCAGCTTCCTGCCTGCCTGCCCCAGGAAATGCTGCAATGGCTCAGCCAAGGGACCAAATGCTTCCTAGGGCTCTACCCCTACACCATAGTAGGGCATCATGCTGTCCAGAACAGAACTAGGGCCTCTATGTGGAGTATATGACTATGTACCATGTGTTGCAACAAAGGTCTTAGTGACTTCTTTGTCCACTGCCTCGCTGCTAGTTCCTGCTTGGAATGAGGTTGGTTATTCCTGCGTGAGATTTAAGGGGCAAAATCCCCACAGCTTGCTATCAAGGGAAACCAGAACACACGTGAAGGAGAAGCAAAGCAGTATAAGAACTCCAGGGAAGAGCCCGGAGCAATCAGAACAAACCTGACTGCAAAGGAGACAAAACACCTCCTGAAGAGCTCTACCCACAAGATTTGTATGCAGTCTGATAGCTGCCCATCCAGCCCTGCAGACACCTGCAGCTACTTTAGGCAACTGCTGGCAGCCCTGCCTGCCCTTTCTTAGCTGGTAGAACACACCTACCTTAGCAGGGGTTGACACTCCAAAATACAGGACTTCTACCAGTTTCTTTATAGCTCAGGGTAGCAACAGTAATAAAAAGAGGAAAGAACAAAACTCCAAGGAAATGAGATGCACATTTTTGCCCTGAGAAACACATATGGTATTACCAGAAGATATTTCACAGTGCTAAGATGATACGGATGCATTGGGGGCTCCTGGTAGGTTACCAATTCCCATGCCTCAAGGCAACTATTCTGGGATTCTGTGAAACATCTCACAGATTCTACTTCCAATACCTCACCCAGTTTAGCGTTCCTACCCTTCAGGACACTACACCTCTCAAGAGAGGCAGCAGTAGCGGCAAGACCTGATACACTAACCAACGGCACAGCCAGGCCTCTGGGAATCTGCTGGCTACATGCTCTGGCCTCCTGACTCAGCCCCAAACGCAGCACAGCAACTCACCCTCTTTCCTGCAAAGCAATGAGGTCGAGGAGTGGTGCTGTCTGGGAAAAGCTTGTCCAGCCTGGGTTCTCGTTTCTCCAGCATGCCATGGCATGAGGTGACAGTGAGCAAGTCCACCCGCAGCTTGTCCAAGGAGTGGCACAGCAGCTCTCGATGGTAATAGACAGAGTCGAGAGGACTGCAGGAAAAGGAGAGACACTCAGACAGTCTTCCCTTTCAGCTGGCAACACACAGGTTGGCCTTCTCCCCACCACGGAGAAGAAGAACGTGCAATTGTGGGGGCGGCTCCCTTCCTGGCAGGGCATGCTGTTACGCTGGGAACCAAGGGACGCAGCACTAACCCTCACCCGCTGCGGGACGGGGGGATCCCTCTAAGGAACGAAGGACTTTGGTCTGGGCAGTGGGACGCTCCCCACATCTACAGCCTTGACGTTTGCCTCTAGCAGCTCTTCCAGGACTGTGCCCCTGCTTGCTCTGCTTCTGGCCCCTGAGGAGCGCCATGGCCTCAGCCTGACTGCTACAGCGCTACCCGCGGGCATCTGCGGCGGAGCTAAGCGCTGTGGGCTCCCCTCATAGTCAGTGAGGAAGAGGAGCTCTCCTAAACAGCAGCTCATCAAGAAGAAAGAGTACTGGCCCAGGCCTCAGGACCACAGTGCCTTGATCCCCCCGGCTGAAGGGGAGCTCTGGGTGACTAGCTCCTACCGTCAGTCACACTGTTGATTCCTATAGTCATCAGTCAGTCAGATGAACCTCGCCTTGGCAGCACAGAATAGGTCACATGGAGAAAAAACCTTTATCGGCAAAAGGAGCTGGCTCCTTCCCGGGCCCCCCCCCCCCACCACCACAGGGAAACAGAGCACTTTGTCCTTTGAGGCAGCCTGCAAAGGTCCAAGGCAAACATCCAGAAGCAGTAAGGTGTATTTGGATTACTGACAGGCCTGAACACGTACAAGCCTCTCGGATACTCCTGCTGGAGGACTGGAGGTCAGCTTGACTCGAGGGCATAGGACACAACGAACAAGCAAAGAGGGCAGCATGATCAAGCTAGGCAGCATACAGACATCCCTCCAGCTCTCCATGCTAACACCTTCCCCGGACCAGCAGCACCTCCCACTACAAAAGGGGGGTCTTGGCCTCCTGCAGAAGGGTTCTGTTGGACCCATCCACCCCTGCTGCAACCCCACGGGATTCAGTGGCTTTACATCAATAGACAAATTTGAGTCACAAAGACTAAGATATCACCATCAAGTCCTCGCTGAGTGAATGCCACGTTTTGAAATTCTCATAATTATTCACAAAATGGCTATTTAAGGAATGAACATCTTGCAATATACCATTCCTCTTCTTACAACAGCAGCCGTAAAGGAAGGGAGCCACGGAAGAGAGGTGCCCCGAAGAGAATATTCTGCAGCCAGGAAGGTAAAAGGAAACACAGGCTTGGCTTAAAGAGGTCTCAGTCTCCGAGAACTCCTCCTCTTTGAACAAGGGAAGCAGTTCTGTTACAGTCCCTCTTCAGCCTCTGCTTCCTCACTTCACAGAAGCGTTGAAGGAAAAAACTCCTGTTAGGGCTAGAAGCAAACCTGACCCCGGGATTGGGAGTGTCAGGGGGGTCCAGCCCCAAGCTTTAAAGGGCCCTCTAGCCATGTGCCACCTGTCCCTCTCCAGAAGCATGTTTTTGAGAGTCAAGGAGCTCAGGGGAAACGGCTCTAGCTGCTCATGCCAGAGCTGGAGCGTGAGCGGGTCAAGCACCATAGAGCTAAGGGGAGAGAGCAGAAGGCACAGAAACCCCATCTCTGCCTTCCAAACAGCTGCTGCCAGAGAGGCTGGGCACTACCATATTTCCAGAGATATGGTAAAAACAAGCCGGTAAGCAAGGGGGAAGGAAGAGAGCAATGGATGGTGCGCACCTGCTGGGAGACATGTATTTGCACTCTTCAAAGCGGCTGTCCAGCTGCGCCAGCATCTCCTGGCACTCCGTGTAGGAGAAGGGGTAACAGAAGGCAAAGTAGGTGGTGGCGCCGCGGTACTCCAGGAAGCGGTGCACGAAGGACAGCACAAACTGGGTCTCCACCATCTGGGACAGACACAAAGCAGAGGCTGAGCACCTAGCACGGCTCCTGGGAGCGGAGACAGCCGGAGGCCACGCAGAGCCACCTCCCGGACGGAGGCGAGGCAGACGCTGCTACCCGCAGGCATCCTGCGGTTCACCATTTCCCTCATGCATCAAGTGTCATCTCGCGCTCGCTCGCTCATCTCTAACCAGTGGCTGCAGAATGGAGATCAAAGCCGCGATCCAGGCAGATTCCAGCCTGCGTTTGCTCGTATCCCTGAAACGCCAAGCTGTTCCCTAGAAACAAAACCTTTGATTTCCTTGTTCCTCTAGCTGCAGCACAGTACTCACGTCCCCAGGGGAGCGCAAAACACCTCACCACACACCTAGCTCTTGTGTAAAGCTCTCCAGGAAATCCAGAGGATTCACTCTCGTCCTTACACTCACCCACCGGTACTTAAAAGCCTGAAGAACAATTACTGCATTTTGGCTTCCTTAGCAAAGTTAAGCAGCACTACAAAGTTCAGCTGTACGTTGTGTCGTTCCCTGGAGTCGGTATGGGCCAAACGGAGACTCTTTCTATTCCAAGTTAGGGGGCGCGAAGGTCTCGCTAGTCCCAGCTCAGCATCCCCACGGAGCCGAGGCACGCTGGCAAGGAGCGGCAGCTGCGCACGCAGCAAAGGCAACCCAGAGCAGCAGCAACTGATCACCCAGCAAGCCGTTCCTACCAAGACCAAAGACAGACAGCGCCAGGAAGAGCAAACTCCCTACAACAGCCTGTTGGAGACCCTGACACCTTAACGAGGCTAGGAGAGACACCCTGCGGCCGTCCCCACGCCTACTGACTCCAGTTCGCAGGGCTTTCAAACGACCACGCTTCGACCCGTGCTGTTCCCCTCATTAGGGTACCGGTCTTCTCACATGTCACAGCTGAGCATGAAAAG